AAAGCAAACTTTGGAGTAACTCCAGTAGTCAGGTACAGTGATGCGTGTCTAGGAATACCTGAGGTATCGGGGTGATTTTTGTCAATTACATTCACCTGTTTCGTCACAAGTCCTATAAATATTCCCACTGCAAATGATGTGGCTCCTCAGTAGCCCAAAAGCAGCACAGGGCAGGAAACATAAGACAGGTGGATGTTTTTTCTGAAGCTCTTGTTGGTCCTTCTTGTAGGGAAGTTTATCATAAAAAACACAGGTCAAACACTTCTGAAAACTGTATTAGAAGTTGATGCAGTTTTTAGAGGATAGCACAGTGTAGAAACAGGAAAGGAGATTGATTTTTATGTAAATTAGACTGGCATTTGTAATCCATTATTTATGTATGCACAGTGCCCTATGAATATTAAGTCTCATCTTATTTGAGGACTGCACCTTGTAACTTCATTAATACTCCACAGTTATGTCTCTGCCTTACATAAAGCCAGTTGGCAAGAAGTCAGTTGATTTTGCTCTAACCAGATTGCAATTCCTAGATTTTTATCAAATGTAATCACATTACCACACTGTATTTACGTACAGCTGCTCAGTTACTTCAAAATTGTTTATCTCATTTAAAACAGCGACCAACTGAAACCAGATTTAGGAACGATCCACTATCAGCACAACTTCTTGAAGGCCATCAGGAGACTGTAAGCATAACATTTGTTTCCAGATTTCCTGTGATGGTTTTCTCTTTCTTTCAGTGAAGATTAAGACTGAGATCATTGGTACCTGTGTTAGTGCAAGTTAAGGCATTGTCTATTACATCTTCAGCCAGTCACACTGTCCTTTGGGTGGGGGATAGCTCAAACTCTAGTGGCTGCTCAGTCCCAGGAAGGCACTGAGGATGGATGATTTTGTTGTCTGCCGTTGCTTCCAGCTGCCCCTTTGAATTCTTTTAAAGTTCCTTTGCCAGAACTCTTTTGAGTAGGCAAAGTGAGTAAGAAGCCGAAAGGGATACCTCCACGACTGCTGCATGCTGGTGGGGCAATGGAGGAAGGCTTACCCAAAAGATCTCTTTTACTAGTTTCATCCATTTCCCCAGCCACAGGTAGCTCTGTGGTTCTCTACTTCCACCAAGTCACCCGTTGTAATGAATTCGGGAAAGTTTCTCTTCTTCCATTCCTGCATAGTTTGTTATAGAAAAAAAAAAATAATCTGGTCATGTAATTGAGGAGGATGACAAAGGTCTATTAATGCAGAAGAACTTCTGCCTGTATAAGGATGGAAGGATTAGGCTTTAACATACGTGCTCTTCCCAAATCTCTCTTCTCTAATATGTTTATCATATAATTATGACTTCAACTTCTCCTCCCTCAAATGAAGGCGTATCAAACTGCCATATATCATCTTAGAATAGACTTTTTCTATGCAGGATAGCTAACCTTTGTTCTCCATGACAGCACTTCTAAGATTTTTCTCAACTAGCAAGTTCTTGAACTTCTTGTTCACGACACAGGATGCTGGAGCTGCCTCTTTTCAAGCTCATCTCTTCTGCGTTGGAATCTATGCAGTTCTTGCTCCAGAGCTAAATAACAAGAATGTGACCCCGGTGCAATGAAAGCCTGAACCAAACTTTTCACTGATTTCAAGAGACCTTTATGCTCTCTTCAGTGTTTCTGGATATTGATAATTTTTATGGCAAAAGCATTAAAAATTAATACCTCTACACTGGGAGTAGTAGACAACTTCTGGACAACTCTCTTAAAATCCCTAAATGGTTTCAGCCTGAGGACCCCAAGACGGAGTTGTACAAAATTTGTAGAAACCTTTGAAAGCATCAATGTTAGTCTCTATAACTAAAGCACCTGTAACTCTCATTTGAATATTTTTATGTTTTATTGTATGTTGTGTGCTTCATAATATTTGTCTTGCATTACAAATAAGAAATAGAGAACATATTTGTGTCTTAATTTTGCTAGCAATCCTCTCTTTTTAATATATCTAAGCACAAACTGATAATTATAATTTCAAAAAAACCCATTTTTCATAGCCTAGGGGCTTAAACTTTTATATTCTTTCTTTATTCTGAATGTATCCCTCAGGAAACAACTCTCTGTAATAATCACCTTGCCTACACTTCTTCAGTCACACATTACATTCTCTCTCCCACTTTCTTTCAGGTTAATATTAGTGTTTGTCAGCAGCAGACTTTTTTTTTCCAAGGCTCTGAGTCATTACAGTAACAGTTATGTTCTCAATAGAGAGTTCAGGGTAGGAAAAAAACCCAGCCCCATGCCTACATGTATCTGACTGTTAGAGAACCAGAAGGCTACTCACTCCTTTTAAATGCCAAGTGTTCAATTACTTTCCTCTTGGAGGTTTTTTTTTATTTTCTTTTTTTAGTTTGGGAAAAAGTCAAATGTGATGCAGTAGGTTACTTAAGCTCATGATGAGGGATGCTGGCTTCACATTTTTTCCAAAGCGTGACAGTTTTTTTCCAAGTATTTCTTTAGCAGAGTTCGGTTGGTTGGTTTTATGGTCTAGCTCACAAAGAGTTCAGTGGCTATCTACAAACCCCTTGCACTCGTTATCCTGAACAGGGATCTGTGCTGATAAGGTGTCCAGTCAACAGCAGAGGTTTTGCAAGTTTGGCTTCAGGGCTCAATAGAGCACAGGGAAGCATTCAGAGAGCTGTAGAGTACCGTTTCTGGTTCTGGCTATTGCTGTCCTTCCCTGTCCTGCTCCCTGAGGTGCTCTGCTCTTCTGTGGGAAGCCAGTCAGAGTACACGTCCCAACACACACTGCGTGAGCACAAGAGCTGTGCAAAACTTTCAGAGTGAGCCCCAAGGATATGTGAAGCCTGATCTGGGGATCATACATAACTGAAAACAGATCCGTTTACCCTGGATGTTTTTCTAGACACATAAGCTTTTCAACTGAACTGGAGGTAATGGATTTCCCTTTCTGAGGGTAGAGCTCTCTCTGGACTGTGGGTCAAACCTGAGCCCACACTATCATCCTAAAGACTTTGTAACCAGGCAGGGAAGGATTTCCCTCATGGTGATGAATGCTACAGAAGCATGTAAATATAAAGGCACTGTTATCTTTCTTGTTGCTAAGTACCCCCTAGTCAGAGAGAGCTCTTAGCAGCTGTCAGAACTGCTGCACTATAATTTAAAGTGAACTGTAAATCCCTGAGATGGATGAAGGTATCAACATGGCTGATCTCAGAATGGTCAGTAGAGAGGCTGCTGGCGATTTCAATGACTACGCTTGTTTGTCAGGGTGGAAGATGACAATGCAGCTTGAAAGGGTGATGGCAAAAAGGATCAAAAGGACACACCAAAGGCTAAAGGACGGGCGTTATAAAACATTCTCCAGTATGCAAGGTTGTATTTTTTCCAGCCTCCTTCTGACTGGGAGATCCAGTGCCCCTAGGAAAAAAAAAAAATAAATAAATAGTACTCCATGCTGCTTGCAAGAAAGCAGGATAATACCCTTGCACAGAGTGAAGGACAGTGTTCTGCTGTCTTTCATTTTTCCATCTGTGTGTACGTGTTGCCAGCCTTTCTTCTTTTTTTCTCCTGGTTTTCTGTTGAAGAAAGTCTGCTGGGCTAAACAGGCCACTGGCCCCTGGTCCATAAGTTGGTGATCCGGTAACTCTGAGGACAGCTTGGAAGGACCTGTTGTTCGGTAGTCATCATGGCAAAGGCAAACTCCCCCAAATGCAAAGAAGGCAGCTTTCAGAGTTCTTGCTGTTTGTTTTTGCTTTAATTTGTGTTTAGGAATGAAAATGTTTGTCACACCTCTGAAAAGAGGAACACAGTTTGCACAAGCCAGATCCACCACTACAGTGGCTCTGTGAGACGCCTACTCAATCCAACCATATTTAGTGGGGTGCCAGTGTAGGAACAGCCGTACCAAATTCTACCTGGAGTTCATATAGCTCACCCTTATCTTTGATACTCTCTGGGTGCTTTGAAGAAGCATGTAAGAAATCTTAAGAGTGAAAATCCATGGAATAATCTGCTCACGGGGATTCTTACTTTCTAACCTGCACCAAAAAACCCCTGTATTATGGGGTTTTATTTATATGCTTGGGTTTCTTTTTAAAAGCCAGAAAAATCCTATGCTACTTGATATTGAGTTTTCTGGTACTGAAATGAAAATCTAACCTTTCAGAACCCACAGTTTTGAGCACCAGTAACGTTTGGTGGCAATGGATTTCAGAGGGCATTTATACCTGATCTTTGGAGCAGAGTATCTGTAAATGCAGAAAAACAAAGCCTGATTGCTTCCTGACGCTCTTGGTCAGAACTTTTGAGTCTAAATTTATCAAAGGATCACTTTATCACTACCTTCTTCGATTTCTGATCTGCTTCTAAAATCAGACTTTGGGGAACTACAGTGCTGGAAAAAGCAGGGTCCTGACCCTCTTGTGAGGGATGCCCATGCAGCTTAATAGCGTGACCCTTGTTAGTCTCTAGTGCCTGGCTTCATCAGGATTCCAAACCATGTGCAGCTCCAATAATGCTAAACTAGATGAACTGGAAGGCACCGAGAGATAACTCTGCTATATTTCAGTTTATTAGCCATACAAGCCCACTTTCAAAATCGGGAAAGGCACATTATAATTGAAAAAATCTCAGTAGAAACATATTCTGCTTCCACAGTCTATGGATATGCATGTTTAAGCTATCATGCCATGACACTGTGCTATTTGATTTATGTTTTTACTGATGCTTTGACTGAATAGTTTGTTGCAATGTACTGCTAAATGGAGGAAAAATCAGAAACTGCATCAGACAACCACTCTGTATTTCATTCTAGAAAATAGCTGGCAATTATAATTACTCACCATGTTTCTGGCTCAGAATAAAAGTGGCATTGCACAAAAACCACACTGAACATTCATCGTGATTAGAAAATGCTCCATACCTTGGAGTGCAGTGGAGACATAAGAATAATTTTAAATGCAAATTAAATTGTGGGGGTAGCAAAGGGAACAGATAAAAGACAGTAAAACAAAGCCTTTCACTTTCCTCAAATTAGCAGGCTAATGTAGTATAAAAAAAAGCAGTTCTACTCAGATCTGTGCTAAGAGCTTTCATTTCATCATAATATAAAACAGCAGATCCGTCACCTTTCTCTATTCAGTACTCTTGATTTCGAGGTTGAAGTGAAAATTAGAAGCTGTTCATTCTGGCTCGCAGGCTGGGTTGCATTTGCTTAGTCTTATTCCATGACAGTAGGATGGAAAGAGGTCAGTAACACTGGTAAGTACTTATCTCCTGCATCTGATTTTCTTTATTTATTTTTAAAATCTTTCACAGTGCTTTGGATTTTTATCAATGTGTATTTCCTGAAAAAAGCTGCGTCGTGTATTTTGTAAAAGGCTGTATCTTAAACAGAAATGCAATGATTCCTCGAGAATGCTTGTATCAGATGTTAGAGCTCCTTCAAGAATGAATTAATTACTTAAAGTAGGAATTCTGTAACAGGAAAGGTTTCTGGATAATCTATATATTTCATAGCATTACTGGAACATTTTGTGTGTTGCTTTTTCTGTCAGCCTTGTCCAACAAGCAGTACCAGATAAGAAATTAATCTCTTTGAGATGTTATTTGCATAATATTCATAGCAAAACATTTAACAATCTTATTACCCTTGTGGTAAATGATGGAGAAAGTAGGTATTTTACTTACTGAAAGCAAATTATTAGACAAAACACAATATTACGGTTAATCATTACGAAACTTAAAATATCTCAGAATACGAGATGCAACAAGGAAGATCAGAGTGAAAAACAAATTCTTAAGGAAACTTGATGTAGATTTCCCCCCCCCTCCTCCCCTTGGGAAAGTTTTTATCAAATCAAAACCAGGGGCTTAATTTTTCAGTATGAAGGGTGAGGGGGAGTTGGGGAGATGATCGTAGTGTCACCTCCTGTTGCTAAGTAACAACATCTCCTGGCCATTTTTATCTGATAAAGGAAGTCCAGTTGACGTTATGCATTATTCATCACAGTTCCAATCAAACAATCAAAATTGTTTGCTTACACTGGGGACATTTAGTAAGATCAAAGAAACCCTCCTTGAAACTACTGGAGCTTACACCACTGCCCGGCAGCTCATGATACTCTGCAGTAAGTATCGTTTCTGGTTTGGGAGTGCTCCAGTGAAGTGAATTGCTGAGGAATTTTGAAAGTTTTCTCATCGGGATAGGCTTCTGAATTTCAGAAAGGACTGCATGTTGACCGGTGAAAACTGAACCAAAGGAAAAAGGGAAAGCTTTGGAACACTGATTTCCTGATTTTTGCCAGCGTAATTGAAGGAATTGCTTGAAGCGAGGGTCAGGCTTCTTGCCCCAAACCTTTCTGTTAGGCTTGCATGGAAAAGGACTAGAGGTATTTTTGTCTGTCTGTCTTAAAATAAACGTTGTGCAGAGCTGTTTGTATGCTTATGATTATATGCTGTAGCTAACTGAGGTGTGGAGGAGAGAACTGGTTTGCCTGTTTTCTGCAAATCCTGTTTTTTAATGTGAGTTGTTCAGAGTAGAATAAAATGCAGAAGGTAGCAAGAAGGCTGGAGAAGGGTCACGATAATGTGCATAATCCTGGCAACTCTGCCCGGATTCAATGTACATCTTAGTTGCAATATAAGATCTAGACAGATCCGAGGTTCGGAAGAATGCCAAAAATATAAACCTCAGCTAAGAAGCAGTGCTAAGAATAGCCTACCACTTCTTAATTATTGCTTTTATCACACCTTTTAAAACTGATGGTGGGATTCTCTGTTGCTACTTCTGGTCGGTACAAGGGGAGAGGGAAAGCAAGGTTTCCCTCTGGTCATTTAGGTGGAATGAAATATCCAGAATATTGTGTCTTCCTTTCTAGTGCAGTGTTTTGCTGTAAGCAGCATGAATGCTATCTTTAATGTAGTCTATTACAACAGTGCCCATTCGGAGGTGCTGGCTGTGGATCTGGCTAACGGAGGTCCCTGCCCCAAGCCTTTCTGACCTTTGTAAGAGCAAATATGACAGGCAGGTGAATCTAAGTATGTATTGTAAGAAATGGAGATTGTGGCTAAAATAAATGTGATTGTACTGTAAAGGTACTAGGAATATTGCTAGTACTGCAGTAGGATTTTTGTTTTATGTCTTTAGACAAGGATTTAAACCAAATATCCTAAAATAGAAAAGGATACTTATGAAGTTCTATGAATACTGATTTGAAAATTCTTTGACCCTAATACGCCAAATGAAGCACTTCAGTGCCTGCCTACACAATTCTTTCCACAAAAAAACTCACCAGCTTTTTTTTGTCTGACATCTCTGTAATCTTTCCCAGGAATCTGACTGATCATCCTACCGGAGTATTGTACACAAACATAAAGTTCCTTCAAAATGGACTACTTTCTGGATGTCGAGTCTGCTCAGAGACTGTTTTACAGTCAAGGAGCTCAAGGTAAGAAACTCTGGTACTATCCCAGAAAATGACTACTTCAGTTGTACAATAAAGATGTATAGGGCCAGGCAAGGGCCAACCTTTGTGACTGACCTACTGAAGTGTACAGAGGCCATAGGGAAAGGCCTTCAAAATGCAGGGGGGGTGTAAAAGGGATTACAAGAAGAATAATGATAGGGTTGATCTGCCCTCTCAGAGGATAAACAAAAGCAATGAGAGCTGCTGGGTGCCCAGCAGGAGCAAAAGGCACTGCCAAGATCCAGACCCTGGTGTTGCAGAACCGAAATGGACAAGTCAGAGAGGGTAGCAATGGTCCACTGCTTGTTGTGTAAGCCTGTGGTGTCCTTCCCCTTCCTCTTTGCTTATCGATGCTGCCAGGATCATAATGTGGTGTTATTCAGTGCTGCAGGAATAACTGGTTTGGGAAAGCCCTGAGGCTGTCCAGCACCCCGTATGCAAACAGCAGGCTCTCAGTGGTCTGCGTCCTTCCCTGTGAAATGCTGGTCCCCACCGAGCAGCAGCAGTGCCAGAAACTGAAAGAGTAATCAAGCTTCTTTGCTTCAATGTAGTTGAGACTTGTTCACGACATAGATGATATTTTTGGTAAAGTCAGTTCACATTTTTCTCACCAGCTCTATTTTTGGAGAAGACTTGCGATTTCAGAGAGAAGGTTGTTGGGGTTTTTTTTGTTCCTTAAACTTTAAACACCATATTAAATTGAAGAAAACTGTAAGAACCAAGTAGCTCTATTGGCCTTTTTTTTGTTTTTGCATAATGCCTGTTTTCTGAAAACACGATCCAGCTTTTTTCCACCAACAACTTTATCAACCAACTGCCTTTCCTCTGGAGGCCTTTCTCCCAGAGCAAGACCTATTCCATGTGGGGGATGTCACCATCCCAGGATACATGGGGGTCAGTACCATCTTTAACCTTTGGTTGAGCTGAGATGCTGCTGCCCAACACATGCTGCATTGCCCAGCTGCTGCCCCAGTTGTTGTGATACGTTTTCATCTGTACAAACCACAGAAAATCTTATATGTCCAACACAGCCTTCTGCATTGAACAACAGAAGCAAATGCTAAGCACCTCAAAAATTGACTGATTTTGCTGGTCTTTTCTCCATCTCTAAAATGCAATGGACACCTGAGCGTTGCTACAGAAGTGAGATTAAAATAAGTTCTTCGATATCCCTATGAGAACAACCCCCTTTCCATCCCATAGAAACTGAAATGCAGGAACTTGCTGCTTTACAAGTTATAGCAATTTATCACCACCATCCCTGTGCGCTGCAAGGTACAGAGGGGACTACGGAAGAAGGAATACGTATTCATGCAATGAAAGTCTATTACAGTAATGTGCACAAGGTGACTAATAAGGGTTGCACAGGCAACCTTCACTGTAAGTATTTCCAAGGCAGCAAGGGAAAAAATGATTATTTTACCCATACTTGGAGAAATTACGTTGTTAGCACACAGAGAAATGCTTGTACGGGTCAGTTAGATGCATGACTGAAATTTTAACCTTAGCACCTGGTTGATTCTTTGTGTTAATGCAGTTATTTTGCTGCCTTAACTGCAAAATGAGGAAAAAAAATCCGTCACGCAGAACTGTATTCCTCAATACAAAAGTCATCAGCAGGGTGCTAACCTTTGGATCTGTCATGTGGACTTCTATCCCTTGGCCAAAACAAGTAGGAACCAGCACTGAGACTGGGGGATTTTTGTCCCCCTGCTTGTGAACATTTTATGAAAGACGCCAATGACATGCTTCCACTGTGCACCACAGCATAGTATAGAGGCTCCCAAACCCCAGTTGCCTCCGCAATTGATAAAGAGCCATGCTGCGCTTATGCTCTATCCCCTTCAACTTTTCACCTTTCTCTTTCCTCCTTTTACTGCATTTTCCCCAGCTCCTTTCCTTCACACCTCTTACCTCACAGTCCTGTGAGATCCCTTCCCCAAACTCTGGTATTTTCCCCTCTCTTCATCTCACTGTGTTTGAGGTCAGCTGCATTCCAACAGGCTGGGCACCAGCAGGGAAATCACTCTGAGCACAGAAGTGAGAATGCTTCTGCTCTACATTCTCAAATGCTGCAACACAGCAGCCCCCTGGCAACAGGAGAGGTGCTTGAGGGGAAGGATGGATGGACAACCCCACCAGCTAGAGTTGTGAGGGACGAAATGTGGCCTGTGCAGAGAGAAGCTTCAGGAAGCTTTCACTGTGAGGTAGCACTGAGCATCTCTGAGGTGACAGAGAGGGCTTCAGCAGGCAAAACAATAAACCTCTGCAAGAGTTTCATCATCGAGGTTTCCTATAGTAAATGCCTTTATCATCGTCCTTAGCCCCAAACTTCTTGACGGTAGCACCCCCTTCCTCTGAGCTATCTTATCCCCTGTAGTCAACACGGAACTCAACCCTATCGAGCGTGTGTTGATGCTGCCTATACAGCTCTGACAACTCTTGTCATCCTTGTACTTTGTGCCAAATTTTAAGGTTGTCTTCCACAGAACAGGCATTTCTATATGAGATAATGGCATGATTTCTCCACACATGCGCAAACCCAACATATTTCTTTCCTTATTTGCTTTCTGAGAAACATTTAAACTATGATAGCTAGAACTTTCTCAAAAAAAAAAAAAACGAAAAAAAATACACTGAATGTGAGGCACTGATCTGCATAAATAGTGTAGCTCAAATAGCTAGTTTGGAACTGAATAAAAGGTCTGCAAGAAAGCATTATCCCCAGATCTACCTAGATCTAACTAGTTGATGTTAATATAACAATACGACGCTATTAACAAATCATACTATCAAACAGCATGTGTATATGCATTGAAACTGCACTATAAGAGAACTGATTGATAGAAGACTATCCTATTCTACCATTTAATTAGAAACAACATCAGAACACATTAGATGTATTATTATTACTTCAGTTATATTATTCATTATTGCATTACAAAACGCTCTGTTTACACACTCTGGAATGGGAGTTTATGACCCACTTACTCTTTCTGTGAGATTTGAAGATTCCTGCCTTTCAATCCTTTCAGATTAAGAAAAAAACCTCCTTTGTGATGTTTTCACATTAATGATATGAGTGTTACAAATGGCAGCTGTAAAGCACTCATTCTCATCTGTAGTCACTGCTTGTGGGTGGAAAAGAAGGGAAGGAATAGGACTGCAAAGTGTTGGGAAGGAACTCAAAGAGCTATGATGGCATTGCTAACAGATGATACCAAATCCCAGCTGACCCAAAGTCTTCTATAGTAAAAGGCAGGATGCTCTGGCCTTGGCCAACAGACTAAAACAGGGTTTTGGCCCCCAGCAACTAACCAGTTCTCTATCCCTTGCTGCCTTCACTAACACCCCCACCTCATCCCTACTCCTGCAGAAAGTGCAGAACAGCCTTCGATGCTGTAGGGTGGGAGGAGAGAGGTGTTACCTTATCAGCTGCCTCCTCTCCCATCCTCTCCTTCTGCAGAAGCAGCCATCACCTCGCTCCCGTGGGCTGAGCACAGAACAGAGGATGTTTGGCCATTTGGGCTACATCTCCTGTTCAAACAGCTGTTCCCTGTTTCCTCCAAGGAAAGTGAAGCAGAAAGGATGGAAAAGTCACAAAAGCTGGATCTGGCAGTAGGATTATCTAGATTTAGAAAACTTGGTAAAATGAAGCCAGCTGGCTGTAGTCTACAGATACCAGCCAGAAATATCCTAAGCTCCACAGCCTTCCCTGACTGTCTCTTCTGTGGCTGTATATTGGGATCTAGGAGACGAGGGGTGTCCTTGCCAAGTGCGTAATGCCTGGTGACGCATCTGCAAATCAGAAGAAGGAAAGAAAGGACTGTGATCCCTTGCATCTAGCCCCTTGCCGTAGGAAAGTCCAAATTTGAAATCTAAGCATGGAGCTGGACTCAAAAGTCTTTTCCCTTGAAGTGTGTGGAAGATAGTAGTCACTTTTGGATGTAAATGTATTCTAAATACAAATCTACCACAGCTTTGAGCCATGAGGGCTGAAAGTGTATGATGGGGCCTGGAATAGGATTCAGCTCACTTATTCCTTATGTGTCCCCAGGGAAGATGTTGCAACCTAAGACCTCTCACTAGCCTGGCATGGATCAGTGGAGAGAAAGTCATTTTAAGAGCAGGATTCACCTCATCTCAGACATCTTTCTTGGGATACTATAAATCATGCCTTATTCTCTACTGATTATGAAAGCCTAGACCGCTAACTTGGGTGAAAGATGCCTCTGCTATTGGCATTTGTTTGCACAGAGGAATTATGTGTTGACAGGCAACACAGGACCTAATTCAGGAAAGGGAGTAACTTCCCCCAAAAAAGTTAAGTCGTAATCCAAAACTGTAAATGTGCAGATCCCATCTTGGCTGTAGCCTACTTTGGAGACACATCAGCTTTGATCTTCAAGTTCTGCTTGAAAGAAGTTATGCTTTGGAACATGCAAAGAAAGACTTTGTATTTGACAGAGCTGAGCAGGCTGGTGCTGAGGAGCAGCAGAAGCAGGCTGCTCCATAAAAGAAAGTGAGCCAAGAGGCAGCAAGATGGGCAGAGGCAGTGTCCTCGCCTACAAGAGGTAAAGCACTGCAGCACACAAACAGGGCAGGTCTCGTGATGGTCACCATGTTCATCCAAGAGTCCAGATTGTCAGACAGGACCATGGTGATGAGGCAGGTGTGAGGCCAAGCAGGACACCAAATCAGCAGTAAGGTTGTGGATCGGTGAGGAACATAGCACAGCAAGTGGGCAACGGCCTCAGTGTAAACACAGCTCTCAAAAGAAGGGAGGGAGCAGCTGTTGAGGCTTCTTAGCCCTTTCTCAAACAGCTCCAAAGCTGGTCAGGGCTTCTCAAGCCACTGTCTCCAACAGCTGTGCCGTGTCAAGAGAGCCTGCCTTGAGCATAGCCAACTAAACTGTATGCAGAAAGTGCACACAGGGCTCTGGACATTGATATCTAGCTCTCACCCAGGCTTGCTCAGGATTA